CCCATCAAAAGTGATGGGAAATGTTTAAGTGAAATCCAAGAAAAAAAAGAGTCAATCCCCTTAATTAACAAAACTACATTAGATTCTTTTATGCCGATAACTTCATTGATTTTTATATGATTTTGAATTACAAGTTGAAGGAATAAATTTATATGCATCAACTAGAGAGCATTAGAGCTCAACGTGGGTGAGAGCTTGAACAAAAAAAACCCTTACTTTCTTATTCCCTCAAATTCTCATTAGACTAAATTGACTAACTGAATGAATGAAAAATATAAAATTCCTAAACTACCCTTCTAACCATAACTTTTATTGTTACTTTCTTTCCTTCTAAACTTTGCCACCATTTTCACATATCCGCCTTACCTGTCAACACTGCCCAACCTCCGCTTCCACCATAACCATCATCAAAAACTTACCACCATAACTCACTTCAATAACAATTCTAATCACAAATCAATTCAATCAAAAACAATATTTGAGAGAATTCATTTAGTCAATTAATTTAACCAAAAAAATTCAAATTCATTCTATATCAACCGGTGGTTGTGCATCACAGATTGAACAACCAAGGCCACCCCCACGAGGACACTAATGACAAACACACAATGCCACCTCTTTTCCTCATTGTCCTTGCAATCACCCTCCATTCATAAAAATATGAACCAACGACAATGAGAAAACTTTAAAGCTTCATTGAATCGGAATTGATAATAGTGCGAATCAACGATACCCAATGGTAATAGCAACACTCACCAAGGTCACCTGCAAAATCCCAATGCAACAAATAACACTCTAGTCACTGTCACAATCACCACCAACCATCATTAGCCACCAAATAGAAAATAAAAAATATGAAAAAGAGACCAAGTTTGTCGCAAATACACCAACCATTACCGAGCACCATCACTATTGCAAATGGAGCACCATAAGCAACACCAAAGCTCTTATTCAATTGGTTCGACACCCACCCCCCAAATAGAGATCCAATTCCACACAATCTTACTTTATTTCCATCACAATCCAAAGTGCAGCTGTGTACAAACTCTAATTCTACTTAGACCTCTAATAGACTTCTGACGACGAGGAGAAAGTGTGTGCGTACGTTTGTGTTTTTATGAGTACGCGCATTCATGTTCGCTAGTGTATGGGAGGTAGTATAGTCAGTGAACAAGAAGATTTTGGGGTATTATGTCAGTGAGCTGTTACTCGGGAGGGTCATTGCTAGATTTGACAATCTTAACTTATTACTCATTAATCCGTTTAACCCGTCCATAAATAAATGAGTTGTGTACTTATATTAATTAATATGAGTTTTAAATGAGTTGGATAATATGATTCATTTTAATTAAGCGGGTTAATATGAATTATAAATTGATACTCATTGGGTTGAATATTTATTTATTTTATTAAATAACACAAGTAATAAAATTAAATAAATATATTAATATACCAAAAAATACACACACTATCACATTAAAAAATACACACATATACACTAATACACCAAAACATACACACTAATACACTAAAAACAGACACACTAATACACCACCCATGAACCCATGGAGTCGAACCGTGTCCCATGGGTCGACTCACGACTTGTGTCTCATGACCCATGGGTTGATCCATAGTCATGAGTCAACCAATGACCCTCGACTCACGGACCAACCCATAGCCCACAATCGACCCCGACCTATTTTGTGTGTGTGTGTGTGTGTGTGTATTTTTTTTTATTAAATGTGTTTTTAGTTTTTGTGCTAGTATATGTGTGTATTTTTGGTGTATTTTAGTGTATTAATTTGTATATGTTTTGGTGTATTAGTGTGTATGTTTGTATTTTGGTGTACTAATAATATATGTGTGTGTGTTTTGATATACTAATGTGTTTATTAAGAATTTTAATTATTTTAAGGGTTAATCGATTTAATACAATCCGTTATATACCTAACCTATTATAACTCATTTACTACGTGAGTGAAAAATAGATTGAATTTATTTTAACCCAATTTAATTTAACCCAATCCATTATAACCCATTTATTACATGAGTGAAAAATATATTGAATTTATGTTAACCCAATCTAATTTAACTCAACTCATAACCAATTCAATTCACTCATTTGTCACCTCTAATGCAAAAGGTATGCGAAGAGTTAGGTTTGTTGGCGAAGGAGCTAAGTGGGTTGCTGGCTGAGCCTTTGAAGGTGGGGATGAAATATTTGTGAGATATTTTTGTTAGTTTTGACGGTGGAGAGTTAATGGATTTAATTGCACGGTGGAGAGCTATGTTCAAAGTATAAGGACAAATTGTTCAAATTAGTAAAACCTAAGGGATTTAATTGCAACATGACCATAAGTTAAATGACACATGTTGTAATTTAACTCTTATGTTTGTGTGTTCCGGGTATCTCGCATCCACATCCATGCTCTACCCACAATGACATCAACACATGGGTTCCCTATGAAGAATAATTAAACTTGCCTTTATATAATAACAAAAATTTTATGTCTATTGACCTATAAAAATATCGAAAAATATTAAATAACTCAAATGAAATCCAAAAATTATAATCGAAATGTATATTATTTTTTGAATGAGTGTTAGATGAGTATGTCTTATTGAAAAATTAATATAATTCACATATCTAAAATATGATATGTATTTGAATTGTATCTTTATTATTTTTATTTGAGTTATAAAGCGTTACTCATATAAATGTCATATCACAAGTCTATCAATTGAGTCAACCATGCATGCGTGTATAAAAATCTCTACCTAAATAAGAAATGACCAATATGTAATTGGGTTTGGAGTAAAGCAATGTTGATGTCATGCCTTTATTAATCTCGATCATAAATTTTGAATCAAATAATTTATAATCATTAGCCCAAAAAATCATAAAATAATACAAAATTATATAATGAGAAAAATATAGATGTAAAGCAGTTTTTGGGTAATACAATCCTTACCAAGACTTGGACTGGATTGTCAACCGGCCAAAAGATACTTTTTTTTTTCTTTCTGTTTTTTTTTTGGGGGGGGGGGGGGGGGGGAAAGCTTTCACCAAAAGATGCTTTTGGGGTGGAATATGCACTACATTGTTGTACTTTTGCAGCTTGTACATACAACTCCCATTTTCTCTCCACAATTTCTATGATGTCACTTCAATGTTAGATGCTTGTGTATCCGGAGGACTTCAAGTCAACCTCACCCAAGTTCAATTTTTAACCCCCCCCCTTTTTTTTTTTTGTTGATTTTAGGAAAATATGACAAAACGAGTTAAATTTCTTCTAAAAATGACACACCAGTCATTTGAATTTTTGATTTAGTCTCAAAATTTAGTTAATATTACATTACTTTAAATAATAATGCATTGTAGTGCAGGAGAAGAGTCTTATTAGTGTATGGTGGGAATTGAAGTTGGGACATACTTTCAACATCAGGTATCCATACTTCCATGTGATCTCTTGTCAGGTGGACATCATCTGACAACTGTCTAGCTTCTGAAAACATGCAAGGAAAACGTTATGGTATCATGATAATGATTTAGTCGGGCATATTATGATACAATTTATTAGAATGGATCTCAACAACTCTTAGAGATAGTTTGGCAAGAAGAGCTTATTATAGTTAGAATAATTAAAGAGTTGTGGTCTAATAATTATTGACCTGCTTTATTAGACGGTTCAGCCTAATTAGTCAACTCAACCCATTGTTAGAAAATTATTAGGTTATGCCAACGACCAGAGATAGCACATAATTGCAAATTTGAGCAGATTGGGATAATATACTTTTGATTTAAGGTGAAGATGGTTGGGTCAATTTATGTACAATGTATTAATTTTTTTTTCTGATTCGATAAAAAAAATAGAGCATTTTTGTCGGGATTAGACTATTCATGAAGAATAAATCTCTAATAACTTGACTCAAAAAAATTATCAAAATTTAAATTTAAAATATCTAAATTTATAACTCATATTTTAGAGCATCTCTAACCGATCTCAAATTTTTATTAAAATTTAAATTAACGTTTGAGTAAAAAGTTTGATTGGACGTAAAAGACACCAATATACAAGTTCAAAAATTGAGTCAAAGGTTAGAACAAGTTTTTTGAACTCAAATTTAAATTTAAGCTTAAGTTGGAGATGTTCTTATTTTTTTTTTTTTTAGTCACAAAAAAGGGAGTAAGTATAAAAAAAAACTTTTGGAGATCACTAAGATAGTACTTCACCGGTGGAAACATGAGAATCTGCCACGTCTGTTACACCTCTCAAAAACAAATACAACTAAGTTAGTACAGTGATCTATCATCGAGCCTTGATATGAACTCGGGTAGAAACTCTAACTTCATAGTGTGGATCGGTACTACCCTGGACCACACTAGAGGGTGGTCGTACCTAAGCCCTTGAGTTTACAATCAGACATTCAAGAGAGTGTAAAGGGAGCATTGATGTCGCTGTTACAGTTACAAAGACCATTTTAATAAAGAAGGTCTGATAAGGACCGTTTGGTAAATTTGGTATAAGAGGACGGCCGTTAGTGGGTCTTCTCACTTCTGTTCGACGTCCCTTCCCTGCAAAGTGTAGTGAGAGAGAGAAACAGATACAGAATATTGAGAGAGAGAGAGAGAGAGAGGCAGAAAGAGGGAACAAGTACCATGAAAGGGCAAGAAGAAAGGAACAAATTAGAAGAAACAACTGACTTTCTTTATCTATCTACCTTCCTCAATTTTTGTTACTAAAGGCAAAAACTGAGTTTCAAATTGGTTCTGTTGGTAAATTCGGAGTACTTGGTCTTTGTTTGCTTCTTGTTGTCCTTGATGCGGTTTGTTATCTCTATATTGCTTATGGGCTTTTGTTAACGAAGCTGTTGGTTGAGTGAGAGAGAAAAGAAAATTGTGTAGGAAATGTCTGTCAAGAGCAGAGGAGAGCCAGCCGCAAGAAGTGTCATACCTAAAAAATGGTCTTTTGCTTTGTCTTGGAAGCTTTTGTGTAGGAATGCTCTTCACTAATCGGTATTATCCCATCACAAGTTCTTGTTTTTCTTGAACTTTCAGTAATTACTTTCCCATAATGGCATTCTGTTGTAATTTTCATCATTAACTGTTAATTTTGGAATTTTTGTGAATTGGGTATGAGCTCTGTGATGAAACAGTAGTAAATAATTTCAAGAATTTTGTTTCTTGAATTTTTGACATATGGAATCTGGGTCTCTCTCTCTCTCTCTCTCTCTCTCTGTCTTCTTTCTGTTTATTGCATTTTGTTATGATTCCTTTATATCAAATTTGCCCACTTGCTGGTAAAGGTTAATAGATCTAAATTGGTATTCTTGGTAGGGATGCCGATCATATATGTTTTTTTCTTATCATATTTCCCTTCTAAATCATATATATGTTTTAAACCAAAATTAACAGTGAATAAAATAGTAAAAAAAATCATATGAAAACTTGTGATATAACAGAAAATATGTCCCTGATAGACCACAATGAAAGTATAGGATTTATATAGTCTACAGCAAACAAGTTGGGACAAGGTTTTATTGAGTTGAGTATGTTTCCCTTTTTTCCTGTTTAAATTTGGCTGTTAATTGAAATTTGCCTAGTTTTAACTACTTAGACACAATTTTCTGCCAATAGATTGTCATCATTTAAAGTGTGCCTCAGCTTCTGATGCCATAATCTGCATAGTGTTATTAAATTTATATTTATCGTTTAACTACGTTTTCATGCCCATATCGTTATTAATGGGCTGCAATGCCCCTGACATCTGCAATAATCTATATCCTTATTTCTCTACTGGTAGCTCTAACTGTATAATCCCTTTTGAGATTTTATTCCCACCAAAGAACTACCAGTACATTTTTTTTTCTTTAAAACTTTGTACCGGGCAACGGATTGTGCAATTGTCTTGACTGCAATTCTGCTGTTGTTTAGCAATCTTAGAATTCAAGGCTTTATTTGCAATCTTGGTATACTTACAATAATTTTTCTTGTTCGAAATGTAATTGGATAAGGCATTGCTAAAATGATTGTTGAGGCTACTAATTTTTGAAATATGGTGGGTTTATAGTAACTAAAAACAATTGTTAACAGAATGTGGATGGTGCCTGAATCTAAAGGTATGACAAGGACCACTGCAGTAGAAGCTGACAGGTTAAAGTTAGTTTCAGAAGGTTGTGATCCAAATATTGTAAGTATCTCCACTCTTCTGTTAATTTTGTTTAATAATGCTACTTATTGTTCATGTGGACAGCACTACAAGCACTGTTTTTTTTTCCACTTTTAGTTCAATTTTTTTTCTTTCCTTTGTGTTCCTCTTTACCAATCATACATGTTAATCTGATTGGATGGTTCCCTCTAATTGTATAACAAGGATGTTACGCGCAAATCCAAAGATATTTTTGGCGAAGTGTCTAGGACTCATCATGCCATACAGTGAGTTTTGCTTGTTCTTTATTTTCCATATAAATTGCCCATGGTGGTCTCTTTATTTGATCTCTGGTTATCCTGAATGCATAACATCATTGCACATTGGATGTAGGACATTGGATAAAACTATTTCAAATTTAGAGATGGAATTGGCTGCTGCAAGGGCAGCACAAGAGTCTATCCTTAGTGGTTCTCCTCTGTCAGAAGATATGAACACTGGTTCATCTGGGAAAAGGAAATATTTTATGGTTATAGGAGTCAACACTGCTTTTAGCAGCCGAAAAAGAAGAGATTCTGTTCGTGCTACCTGGATGCCACAAGGTTCATTAAATGATCCATCGTTTTTTTTTTCTCCAACGATAGATACTCCATCCATTTAGTTGCTTGTTTGGAACTGATATCCTATATTTGATTATCTGGAAAACTGAAAATAGGAGAGAAGCGGAAAAAGTTGGAGGAAGAGAAGGGGATTATTGTACGCTTTGTCATTGGTCATGGGTGGGTTCTAATTCCCTTTCAATGTCTGATTTCATCAAGTGTTTGTACAAAACAGTCTTCCACATGCCTCTCTAAGCTATTTGTGCACCAAAACATATAAGCCTACTTGGAGTTCACTCGGAATTCTTTCATGTCAAGCAGTTGGGCTTATGGGCTGAAAGTTGCCATCTCTTGCAGAATGCTTTTACATGATGATGTCTATTGCTAGAAAATAATTTTATTGAATCTCAGGTCCATTTAAATAATGAAAGTATGGGTTACATAGACTTCACAACTGCTCACAAATGCTGATTAAAATAATGAATTGGTATTTTTTTTTATTACCAGTGCCACAGTTGGTGGTATATTGGACAGAGCTATTGAAGCAGAGGACAAAATGCATGGTGATATTTTGAGACTGGTGATACTCGTATCCTGTTCTTTTCCAGTTCTATTGTACACCGTGGCAATGGACAGTGCTATTTTTTATTTCTGTACAATAAAGGTTAACATGTTTGAGTTCATGCATGAGCAGGATCATGTTGAGGGGTACCTTGAATTGTCAGCCAAGACAAAGACATATTTTGCAGCTGCTGTTGCTTTATGGGATGCAGAATTCTATATCAAAGTTGACGATGATGTTCATGTGAATATAGGTAATTAGTATATTTCTACATTGACATTCCCAGGCTTAAGTTCCAAGACTTTGATTCAAAACACGCTCAATTTGCTACACCTTGCAAATACCGACCCCATCAGGAAATGTCAATGTCTGTGTTCATCTAAGTTCTTATCCATATTTGATAATAGTTGTTTCTCGTGAGAGAGAGAATGAGAATATGTCTAACACCTCCAGTTTTCTGCTTAGTGGTCATATCATTGGATTGCTTGTTTATAAATTATTTTCCTTTTGTCAAGTCCAAAGTAATTTTAATTTCTATTGCAGCCACACTGGGAGAAACTTTAGCAAGATATCGGAGAAAACCACGGGTATATATTGGATGCATGAAATCTGGTCCAGTCCTTGCTCAAAAGTAAGTCATTTTTTTCTTAAATTGTTACGCGAAACTAAAGGGTAATTTACAGTTTACACCCTTAAAGTATGCACCTAATGTCTATATAATTACATCCATCAAGTTTTAACTGAGTTTAATTCAGTCATTCTATCTAGATCTATTAAATTTGTTCTGATAAAAAGACGTTGCAGGACTTGCCCATAAGGGTATATTTGTCCAACAAAACATATCTCTCTATCTCCCTATATTTCTCAAATTCTCACTCTATATTATTTTTTTTGGGTTTGTTATCCTTATGTTTCCTCAAAATCGGATGAAATAAAGTAAGGTTTTTTAGCCTATACATAACAAATTGTTCACTAGACAAATACTCAAGTCATGTGTCGGTCACAAAAGACTATTTTGTCATAATAAATTGGTGAATTTTGATGTTGGAACTAAATTGAAACTCAATTAAAACTCTAAGGATTTGATTGCTGCAATTGGAATTTCAAGGATCAAATAGTTCGTGAATTTTGATGTTGGAACTAAATTGAAACTCAATTAAAACTCTAAAGTTTTAATTGCTGCAATTGGAATTTCAAGGATCAGATAGGAATTAGGTACATCCTTTAAGGTATAAATTGTAATTTACCCTAAACTAAATATTGAGAACCTGCTTTGGCTTATACTATCTTTACTTTTATTCCATGGAACAGAGGAGTGAGATACCATGAACCAGAATATTGGAAGTTTGGGGAGGCAGGAAACAAGTATTTCCGTCACGCTACAGGACAGTTATATGCCATTTCAAAAGATTTGGCTAGTTATATTTCAATAAACCAGTTAAGTTTCATTTTTTATTTGAGGTTAATTAAGAGGATAAGCTATTATCGGGATACTATCGTTGCTTGACACTGTCTCACTGCACTCATGTCATTTTGTTTTTGTAATTGTTTCAGGCATGTACTGCACAAGTATGCTAACGAGGATGTATCTTTGGGATCTTGGTTTATTGGACTCGATGTGCAGCATATTGATGATCGGAGATTATGTTGTGGAACCCCACCAGGTAAACTTGAAGTTGAAAATAATTACCATGCTATTCCTGTTTTGTTGTATTCGATAGGGAAAATGGAAACCTTCTGAATTTGAGTTGATCTAAAAAACGGCATATGATTTATTCTACTTTGGAAAATTGGTATGATTTATCACACAGACCTTGGAAGTAAACTTAGAACCTAGTGGAAAAAGGAAGGATCACTTGAGCTGCTCAACTCAGCAAAGCTTTTAACCCAACTATGGGGTCTTCCTCTAAAACCGTTTCGCTTCAGTTCTGCAAAACTATCTCTTGTTGTCAGGGGATTGAGGCTATGGTTGTCATGGCACAAAGATTGTCATCTACCTTACTAACTCATACTTCATGATACCTTACAAAAAGAAAATCCTCATACATCATGACATGGACTGCAACCAGAATGTAGCTCATACCACTTCAAGTTGGGGTGCGTGGAGCGAAGATAAACCCATATATGACAATTTGTCACATACTGAGTAGGAACTGCAAAGACATATTTTGTGAGTTTGATGCAACTTGTCACAGCAGATTGCGAGTGGAAGGCACAGGCGGGCAACATCTGTGTTGCTTCATTTGACTGGAGTTGCAGTGGGATTTGCAGGTCTGCTGAGAGGATTAAAGAGGTCCATCAGCGATGCGGTGAAGGTGAGAATGCTGTGTGGACTGCTGCCTTTTGAGAATCGACTAGCAATTCCTCCAAACTCAGGAAGGTGATAATGTTGAGCACTTGTGCTAGTAATCTGTTTCATTTACACGAGTACAGAGAATACATATCATATATAGAGGGAAAGAGTTAGAGAGAGAGAGAGAGAGAGAGCCTTGCTATGCAAACCTTCTCCATTTTAGTAGAGAAGCCTGACTGCCAAAGCAGCCAACGCAAGCAGTGGCATCACTACGCAGTTTTTACCACTTGGAGCGCTAAATTGTATCCAGTAGACATTGGGCTCATAATATAACCAATAATTTTTAGGCCTTTTCTGCACTTTCTCTTCTTGATATATTTTCGCAACGAACCATTTCAGAAATGACATGATGATGATGAAGGTATGCTTTTTTTTTTTTTTTTTGCTCTCTTTTCTAGATTGGATATCTTATGATCAACTTGCATAATACTGAATGATTCAAAACCTGGTTTTTCTTTATGTAGTTTCATTTCTCTGGTGTCTAACAAATAATATTACACAAGATGACTCCTAGGTTGTCAAAAACTAAAAATACAGTTAATTTTTCTACAGCCTGTAGCCACCATAGTTTCACCAATGCTGCTAGTTATGCTACCAGGTGAGGAGCTGGAGATAAACTATGTTGAACAGAACAAAGCTATTTAACATTATTTATCTGAGGCTCCTCGTTGCAATATGTATGGTTGATATATGCAACTTTACATTCTCATGCTGAAAAATTGTTTTTATAACTCGAATCATGACATCTGATGACAATAGAACCACTTTACCGCTGCTTTGAGACTCTCCTCAACTGCTTGAAAACAATGATGTAAAATTCAACATCTGCTATTTGTTTTTATGTCTTGTACATCACCAGATATTAAAGAATCTGAACTCGGCATGATATCCAAAAGAGAATACAAATAAATTTAGGACGAGATACAACTATGTCTATGAATGTAGCAGGTACTATCCTACATGTATCTGCAAATATTCTCCTAAAAAAGTAGTATGTCTGAACAACCAAAAGAACTTCTAGGCAACTTCAAAAAAAACAAGCAAGCAACTATAGAATAAGATGGTACAATAGGTTGATAGGAGGGCAGATGCTACATGATGAAGAACCAGAAATTTTCTCTCTTTCCTAGAGGTGAAGTGGATCAAAATTTCGTTTCAAAAAGGTTGAAACACCAGAAATATTTTTGTTTTCAAAAGAAAACAAAACGAACCAGTGATTGAATTGAAATGTCAATGTTTCAAGGTTTTTGGAATATCCGAGGTGTTTCGAGATATTCAGGCATATTTCCATTATTGATTCAAAATATTTTGGTATATTTCAAAATATTTTGAAAATAAATTCTCAATTTTTGTTCGTTTCCATTATATTTTCAAAATATTTACAAAACATTTTTATTTCTTCGGTGACTAAAACAACACACCAAAACAAATTTTTGACCCTTAGAGGTAGGTACTAGCAAAACCTTGATGATTTATCATAAATAAATAGCCAGAAAGGGGCATTGATCTAGTTGTTTTTTACTGTGTATACTCAGAAACTGTTTTCTTACATTGAGCCATAATCAAGAACTTGGACAAATTTAGAGATGACCTTACCATTTAGTTAACAAAAACACCAAAAGAGCACTTCATTAAAGGAAAAACGTAAAACATAAATAGCAGCTACCTTTAATTGGTTGTTGGGTCCGAATGCTATAAGTTATGGGAGAAGTAACACGTGATATTGGCACGGCTCAATCAAAAAGTAGGACCCAGAGCATTTCGAGAACGACTTTCTCATTGAACTGCACCAATATCCCGGTATAACTAATTATAACTCTGACCGACCACCACGGCACCACCATGTTAGGTTTCGATATCTTTCGATGGTCATCTGCTTCTGTGTTTTTTTAGGGGAAAAAAAAATAGGGTTGTAAAAATTGAAACTTGAGACATTCACTCCTCAAATAATCAGAAAAATCAACAAAGAAAACAACAGAGAGGTTTCTTCAGTCAGAGGAAAATGTGAAGATGAATGAAGAAAGAAAGAAGGGGAGGGGGGGGGGGGGGGGAATTGACATGCAGGTGTTTGTTGTGGTAAATGGTTATGTGATGTTCAAAGACAGCTCATGTCTTCTACTCTTTGTGTGTGTGTGTGTGTGAGAGAGATGCAAATGGAGAATTGAAGGAGGCATTGAAGAAGTTGCATTAAAATTTTCAACTACTCAACAATAAAGGAAGTTGGAACATTAATCTACGAAGTTACACGAATCGTGAAAAAAGCAAAGGGAGACAAAGCTGGAGCTTTTAATTTTTGCATTTATTGGCTATGGAGGAGGGCAGAGGATGTTGGTTCTGTCTCATCCAACCATTCAAAGTTTGAAACTACTAAATCAATTGGCGCTATTTTTTTTTTTGTGGTTTTTTCTTTTATCCTTGTTCAAAGTTATGTAATGATACATAAAGTGATAAAGTCTCAACGAAGAAGCTCAATGATTATAGTAAGAAACAATACTATTAGATCATATTCTTGTCACTAGGCTTATGAACGAATCAAATATGGACCGGATTGACTTATATCTGAATCTGAATCCAATTAAGTTTTTTGTATTCGATCCGATTATTCGATGAATTTAAAAAATTTAATCTATGTCTGAATCCGTTAATTTTCAGATATTTGATCCAAAAATCCGATTCAATCCAATTATCACAAAAAAACACATGTACACCAATAGAGAAAAACTAAAAAACAAAAAAAATGGGTCATGCATTATAATATTCGCTCTATTTTTTTTTTATCTTTCGGTATAAGCATAATATATGTATGATATTTATTTACATAATATATTTTTTATTTGTATCGGATTAATATAAATCTATATCCGAATCTATTTAGACAATTCTAATCGGATTGAATTAATAGATTGAAAATCTGATCCATATCCGCTTAAATAGATTCAGATTTAAATCAAATTCAGATTGAAATTCGGTCCATTAACAGACCTACTAGTCACGTCAAATCAACAAATTGGGTGAGTTTTTCCCGGATTAATAAGCACAAATTTATCACACAAAATGTAACTACTCATGTAACATCAACGCAGATCGCTCAACGGAGTTTCACAAGAAAGTTTAGAAGGCCGAGATACTCAAGTCCATATACCACCTCTAAAAAGGTCTAACTTTTGAAGGAGTAGATGTAGAGATGGAACTAGACTCTTACCTGGTGGGCGAGGGGGCCACGGATGAAAACTCATATAAACGAGGTTAATTATATTTTTACTTTTTAGATTTAAATCCACAATGCCAAAAATATAAATAAATAAATAAACAATGAAAAATATATGGAGCATAAATAAAGATATTGACAAAAAAAAAA